TACATTGGGGTTTACAAAATGTTGATTTTTCTGTTTCAGTCATTTCTTCACACTTACTGGCATTCCTCTGTAAAGAAGAGATTTCCTTTACCTATCCCACCCCACCCCTCTTCCTCATTGCTCTTCCTCGAAGTATCATCATAGATTCATTTTTTGTTTGTTCAATATGTTACACTCAGTTAGGGTTGTTTGTTTAGAGTTCTCAACTTGTCATAAATGTGACCAGTGGGAGCCCCTTTAACTTGATCCTTGGTCCTTTTGATAAATCCTACTGGTTTTAGAGGATTTCCTTGTTTTCTGACGCAAGAGTTCTCATGATCGACTTGTTCTTTCTATGCTCCAGGTTTGGAGTCAGCTATTTCTTTAAAGAATCATCATTTCTTCATAGGGAATGGTGCTTAGAAACCAGGGTCTGAGCACTTAGTGTGCTCACTGCTTCTGGCCCTTTTTAATAGAACATCTTAACTAAACTTTTGGCATAAAAAGATAATTTGATCTTTATCTTTCTGGCTTACTTCGCTCTGTATAATGGGCTCCAGTTTCATCCATCTCATTAGAACTGATTCAAATGAATTCTTTTTAATGGCTGAGTAATATTCCATGGTGTATATGTACCACAGCTTCCTCATCCATTCATCTGCTGATGGGCATCTAGGTTGCTTCCATGTCCTGGCTATTATAAACAGTGCTGCGATGAATTTAGAAAGATGGTAGTGATACCCCTATATGCAAAACAGGAAAAGAGACATAGATGTACAGAACAGACTTTGGGACTCTGTGGGAGAAGGCGAGGGTGGGATGTTTCGAGAGAACAGCATGTATATTATCTATAGTGAAACAGATCACCAGCCCAGGTTGGATGCATGAGACAAGTGCTCGGGCCTGGTGCACTGGGAAGACCCAGAGGGATCGGGTAGAGAGGGAGGTGGGAGGGGGGATCGGGATGGGGAATACATGTAACTCCATGGCTGATTCATGTCAATGTATGACAAAAACCACTACAATATTGTAAAGTAATTAGCCTCCAACTAATAAAGATAAATGAAAAAAAAAGATAATTTGAACTACAGGAAAGAAAATCAAATGTTTTTGACTTATTCATCCTTGCAGTTTCTTGCTTTTGAAATAATGAACCTGTTTATTCCTTTCTTTATTAGCCCAGACCTATGCTTTTATCTGTTTACTCAAGGATTATTGGTAATTGTCTAATGTTTCTCTCTTCTCATCTGTTCTACATAACACCCATTTCATTCTTCTGTAAAATGTTATATACTGCCTATGTGGCAGGAACTGTATTAGGCTTGTAGAATACACAGGAAAATGGAAACATCAAGTTCACAGTCTAGTAGGAAAGATCTATATGAAAACCAAAATTTCTGTATGATTGGTGCAAAATAGAAATGTATAAACAGTGATTAAGTGTAAGAAATCAAAGAAGGCTTTAATAGAAGATATTTGAATATGGTATTGATGTAATTATGAGAGGATTACCATGTGAAGAAGGGTAGATCTATTTATAGATTCTCATTGTTTGGTGACCACTGGTTAAATGCCCAGTTTGCATCTAGGTGGCAGTTACAAGTGCAAGTGTTATTAATAGAAATCAGGAGTTGCATGCATTTAGTGCTGAGAGCTTTCCTTTTTCATGTATTCTGTGGTTTTTGTTTGTTTGTTTTTCTGAGTAGACTATTCTTAGCTTACGCTAAAACTTTCCTACTATGATGCCTCATCATTTCTGTTCTTTAGCCTTTCAGTGAAAGATTATTTCTTTGAAAGATTATTCTCCTGAAATTGTTTGGTTTAGAGTCCATGTAGGTGTACTGTATTTGTTTATACATCCATGCTTTTTTAATAAATCCAGTGTGTTTTATTACCAATGATTGCACTTATTAAATGTCTGTATCATACTTGTTATGTGGTTATTAATACAAAGTTTGGTTCTTACTGTGTCTTAATAAAAACAGGGTGGTGAGAGGATTTGAGAGATGGTTAAAAATTGGGGCTCACTCAAGTAGGTAGTACTCTGATTTTACATAATCTCTTTATAGCTAGAGATTGTCCCTCTTTTCATAGGAATTAGGAAGGATGTAGGGGAAAAAAACCCAGAAACTTGTGTATGTTAACCAATTCAAAAACTTTAAGAGTAAATAAGATATCTTTATTTCCACCCAGGAGTCAGAAGAAACTTATATGATCTAGAAAAGTTTTTTTAATAAGTCCCCATCTTCCCAGGTATTTCTAGATCCCTAATATGGCAATTAGACTTTCTTTTCACTGTAAAAACAATGTGATTGTAAATAGAATACATTGAAATGGTAATGTGCTATTGTTGGAATCAATGTTTAATTTATCTGACATCAAGCAATGGGTGTTGGACATAAATACATTTTCTATGTATTTGTAGCCTACATCTTTAAGTGTCAAAACATGTTTATTTCAGCTGTTTTATTTGTTGAAAGTAACAAAAATGTTAAACAGACTTAATGTTACATTTAACAATTGTCTTACCAAACACTTAATGTATGGGATTCTTTGTTATCACTGTTTCCTATCTTTTGGATATTTCTTTTCTCTTAAACATACAAATGCTTTTATACAGAAGTAACAGTGGTCATGTACGGATGTGAGAATTGGAACTGTGAAGAAAGCTGAGGGCCAAAAAATTGATGCTTTTGAACTGTGGTGTTAGAGAAGACTCTTGAGAGTCCCTTGGACTGCAAGGAGATCCAACCAGTCCACCCTAGAAGAGATCAGTCTTGGGTGTTCATTGGAAGGACTGATGCTGAAGCTGAAACTCCAGTACTTTGGCCACCTCATGCGAAGAGTTGACTCATTGGAAAAGACCCTGATGCTAGGAGGGATTGGGGGCAGGAGGAGAAGGGGATGACAGAGGATGAGATGGCTGGATGGCATCACTGACTCGATGGACATGAGTTTGAGTAAGCTCCGGGAGTTGGTGATGGATAGCGAGGCCTGACGTGCTGTGATTCATGGGGTCGCAGTCGGACACGACTGAGCAACTGAACTGAACTGAACTGAACTGTATACCTAATGTTCAGTTCAGTTCAGTCACTCAGTCGTATCTGATTCTTTGTGACCCCATGGACTGCAGCACACCAGGCCTCCCTGTCCATCATCAATTCCCGGAACTTACTCAAACTCATGTCCATCACCTCAGTGATGCCATACAACCGTCTCATCCCCTGTCATCCCCTTCTCCTCCCGCCTTCAATCTTTCCCAGCATCAGGGTCTTTTCCAATGAGTCAGTTCTTTGCATTAGGTAGCCAAAGTATTGGAGTTTCAGCTTCAGCATCAGTCCTTCCAATGAATATTCAGGACTGATTTCCTTTAGGATTGACTGGTTGGATCTCCTTGCAAAAGGGTATAAATGCAATGGGCCAGTGGTGCCTTTCAAATCAAGACCCTGATTAATTTTCCCAGATATTTTCATCATCATACTCTTTTCCCCCTAAACTTCTAATGGCTCCTGTAGTCTGGCCATACTGTCTTTGTGTGTGTGTGTAAATATGGTTTACTTGTCAGTACTTTTGGTAGCATTTTTGCCAGCAAACATTTGTCTCTAGCCAAGTCAGTTTCCATACAGTCTTATGATTATTTCATGTCTCTCAACCTTTGTTCATGCTGTTTTTGTTTTCTGTTCAGGAACTTTGAGGAAATTATTTATCTCTGTTCTTTTCTTAGCAGCTTGTTTCTACTAGTCTCAGGAAATAGCATAATTGAATGTGTTTCCTTTGTGTTAGCAGGACTGAAACAGGTATCCTGGGATGTCTGGGATATGTAATTTTAAACTTACTATCAAACTACAGAGGAGTTAGAGTGGGTAACTTTTTTTGTCACCAGTCTTACCCTTATATCTCTGCTTTTTATATCTTACTCTTGTTTTTCTATTCACCACATTTCCTAAATTGACTTTGCAAAAAACTTGTTAAACCATATGTATCTTTGTAAACCACCTAGTCCTTCTGGGCCTTGCTAAACTTATCTCTAGTACTGGGAAACTTAGACAAGGTGATCTCTTAAGTGCCTTTTCAAATAAAGGCTTCTGATTATTTTTATTTATTTATTCCTTCATTAAAAATATTTATCAAATGCCTAGTGTTTGGTTCATATGATCAGCAGTGTAAGAGTTTCTACTGTTGGATAATAAAATAATACATATTCTTAATTATCCAGGTTATGTATTGCTTCGTTTGTAAAGTCCTACCTGACGTTGTAGACTTTATTATGTTGTCTTGCCCACAAATTCTTTCTGTACTTTTAAAAAAGTGTAGACATAGATTAACTTGTGTTTTGTTTAAGGATTTGATTATTTTGATTACCTAAAATAATTGTGAGTACCTTGAAGAATGATACTTCTTTTATAAACATTTAATGTAGTGACTGTCACATAGTAATTGAAATCATAATGATTACTGACATTTGTGAACACTAACTTTGAGGTAGGCATTGTTTTAAATGCTTTACATACATCTGTTCCTTTAATTCTTACAAAATGTTTATGAGATGAATGCTTTTCATCTCCATTTTTACAGATAAAGTAAAGCATACAAAGGTTAAGTAAATTTCCTCAAGGTTATATTGCTGGTAAGTGAAGCTGGAATATGAGCTCAGTCAGATTTCAAAACTCCGTGCATTTACCCATTTTGCTGTAATGCTGAATTTTATACTTGCTGACTGAATGGACTGTTTTTAATTTTAATATATATTGGTTACAGTTTTGATATCTAGTTTCACTTTGGATAAAAGGCTAAGGATATTGCACTTTGAGGAGAATACTTTTTAAACAAGGACCAATAACTTTCTTAGCAAACTAAATATAATGAATGACTCCCACAATTAATAGTATTCGAATTATATGGTTACACCTTGATGGATTTTAAATAGTCTGTTTTGAAAGAAAATTTATGACATGCATAATACTTTTAGGTGAATTATGATTTGTATTGTGTCTTGATTATTGTTTGTTGCTCATTTTCAGTTGAGTGGTGATTTTATGCAATGGCTTCAAGCCACAGTTCTTCACCAGTGCCTCAAGGAAGCAGCAGTGATGTTTTCTTTAAAAAAGAGGTAGACCCGACAAAACACGTTCGACCTGTGCAGTCACTGCCAGATGTGTGTCCCAAGGAACCCACAGGTAATGCTTTTCTTTTTTTTTAAGGAATTTTATTGAGAATTTGTTTTTATCTTTAAATGAATAGTTAGATTCTATATACTTAAAAGAGTAAATGTGAAAACTAGGATGACATATAATTTGGAAATAAATTGATTGGGAAATTGGAATATAGTTCTTTTTATATGTTTTCATAAAAGAAGTCACTTAGAGAAATCGAAAAAAAAAATTGAAGACGAGGGTACAGATTGAAAGGTCTTCAGTTAAACGTAGTATAGTCAGTCCTCATTATTTGCAGAGTCTACATTTGCAGATTTACCTAATTCCTAAATCTTAGTTGTAACCCTCAAATGACTATTTGTGGCACTTTTGTGGTCATTTGCAGACGTGCACAAAGGAGGGAAATTTGAATTGCCTGATGTACACATTCCCACCTGAAACTGAACAAAGCAGCACTCTGCCTTCTTTCAGCTTTTAAGCTGTAAACACATGTCCCTTTTGTGGTCTGTTTAGTGCCACACTTTTTTGTATTTTTGCTCATGATTTTTGCTGTTCAAAATGGTTTCCAAACATAGCACTGAAGTGCTTTCTAGTGATTCTATGCACAGGAGGGCTACATGAGGGAAATATGTTGTGTAAGCTTTATTCAGTTATGTTATAGTGGTATTAACCATGAGTACAGTGTTAAAGACTGAACAGTATATATTAAATAAGGTGTCTTTAAACAGAAACACACATAAAATAAGATTATATGTTGATTGGATGATGAAAGTTCCAGAGATTTGTAGGAGCATAACCCAGTATTATGCATAACCCTATTTAAAAATGAAGAAGAACTAAAGAGCCTCTGGATGAAAGTGAAAGAGGCAAGTGAAAAAGTTGGCTTAAAGCTCAACATTCAGAAAACAAAGATCCTGGCATCTGGTCCCATCATTTCCTGGCAAATAGATGGGGAAACAGTGGAAACAATGGCAGACTTTATTTTGGGGGGCTCCAAAATCACTGCAGATGGTGATTGCAGCCATGAAATTAAAAGATGCTTACCCCTTGAAAGAAAAGTTATGACCAACCTAGACAACCTAGACAGCATATTAAAAAGCAGAGACAGAGGTCCATTTAGTCAAGGCTGTGGTTTTTCCAGTAGTCATGAATGGATGTGAGAGTTGGACTATCCAGAAAGCTGAGCACTGAAGAATTGATGCTTTTGAACTGTGGTGTTGGAGATGACTCTTGAGAGTCCCTTGGACTGCAAGGAGATCCAACCAGTGCATCCTAAAGGAGATCAGTCCTGAATATTCATTGAAAGGACTGATGTTGAAGCTGAAGCTCCAATACTTTGGCCACCTGATGCAAAGAACTAACTCATTTGAAAAGACCCTGATGTTAGGAAAGATTGAAGGCGAGAGGAGAAGGGGACAACAGAGGATGAGATGGTTGGATGGCATCACTGACTCAATGGACATGAGTTTGAGTAGACTCTGGGAGTTGGTGATGGACAGGGAGACCTGGCGTGCTGCAGTCCACGGGGTCACAAGGAGTCGGACACGACTGAGTAACTGAACTGAACTGAACCCTGTATATCCCATGAGAACAAAGGTTCATTATTTGCTTATTATGTGTTCTAGTGACTTTATAGAACAAACCGAGTAACGAGAACCAACTGCATGTTTTTCTTTCCTCTATGGTTAATGTTACAGCAGCATTTCAGTTGTTTAATTATAAGCTGAAAAAAAGGATATTGGAGCCAGGTCTGCCATAAAACAAAAGAGAAATATGCCTACCCATGAAAAAATCTGGAGTAATAAAGAATAGAAGATATACAGTAGAAGGTAGAAGAGTTTTGATGTTGAAAAAATGTTTTTATTTTGAAAAAAGATAAATTTCCTTAATTGTACGTTAAAGAAAGAGATTAATGAAAGACTTTCTTCACCCCACTGTTCAGTTATAACCCTCAAGTTTTGTATATCCTTTATCTTGTACATTTTTTTCCTCCCCTTTGGCAGTTGATATTGAAAGCTGACGGTTAAGACAATTGGTATAGAAGGGAGAGTTTAGTTGCTTTGTATAACCTAAACATCTGTTTTTCTAGAATGTGCTTTCAAACATAAAACTTACTTTACAAAGTTCTCTTGTTTACTTTTTGCAGGTGATTCAAATAGTTTATGTGTTGCCCCATCTCTAGTTACAGATCAACATAGATGGACTATATATCATTCCAAAGTAAATCTCCCAGCAGCATTAAATGATCCTAGATTAGCAAAAAGAGAATCTGACTTCTTCACAAAAACATGGGGATTGGACTTTGTGGACACTGAAGTCATACCTTCATTCTACCTCCCACAGATCAGCAAGGAACATTTTACAGTATATCAACAGGAAATCTCTCAGGTAATATCTAATCTTGAAGTAGTAGGTCAAAAGTGAAAGAAACGTTTCTTGTTTGGTTTATTCTGACAGGTGTGAGGTAGTATCTCACTGTGGTTTTAATTTGCTTTTCCCTGATGATTACTGATGTGAACATCTTCTCGTGTGTCTGTTGACCATTTGTATGTCTTCTTCACATGGCCCCTGTGGGGTTGTGACTCAGGCAGTGGCTATGGGCCTACTGGAGGGGTGGGCTGAGTCCCCATGTGGCTGTCTGCTCAGCCTGGGGTGGGCTCAGGGCTGGGTTCCCAGTGCTAATAGACTAGAGGGAGGATTCCAAAACGGTGCTTACCAGCACTGGTGTCATTGCCGTACAACATGCTCCCAAAATGTCTGCTCCCATTATCTCCATTCCCTGGAGGCATCCCAGTTGCCTCTTGCCTCTTCCAAGTTTATCCAATGGGTTTCAAGCAAACTCCTTTCAGATAGCTGTCTATGGCTGTGTTGGGTCTTTGTTGAGGCATTCGGGATCTTCCTTTGCAGTACATGGACACTTCAGGGAGGCACGCAGGCTTGAGCTTCTCTTTAGTTGTGGGTGGGTGCCAGAGTGTGGGGGTTTCAGTAGTTGCAGCTCACTGGTTTAGGTGCTCCAAGGCATATGAGATCTTAGTTCCTCCACAGGGATTGAACCCATGTCCCCTGCATTAAAAGGCAGATTCTTAACCATTGGGCCACCAGGGAAGTCCCCCAAAAATTGTTTTCTTCATTGATTTCTGTTATAAAAATAAGGGTTTTTTAAAATTGATTTTTCCACTTCATTCCAAGTTTATGGAGATTTTGCTATAACTGTATAAAATGGGTGAGTATATAGACATTCATATTCTAAGTGATATTTGGTTTATTAAGCATACCTGTTACTTATATTTAAGTTCAAGAGGCTAGTGATTTCATATTAGAAAATTTTAGAACTTATTTGGTATATTCTGATATTCTGTTGTTAAATATTTTAATGCTTTGAATACTTATATTGCCACATAGCATTGATAACATTTGTCTTTTTAATAGAGAGAGAAGATTCACGAGAGATGCAAGAATATTTGTCCCCCTAAAGATACCTTTGACAGAACTCTCTTACATACTCATGGTAAGAATATGTGCTGTTTGTAGCACAGAATCTTAATTTGGGGATCTTGTTAACTGTAATACTTAATTTTTATTTCTAGCAAAATTTGTATAGCCTACAATCATAATCTTTTGTAAAACATAATCTTTTGTAAATCTTTTGTTAAAAAGAAAAATCATGGATCTGATGGTAGTGTTATCCTTCAGTTCAACAAATACTTATTTAATATTCAGATGCTTTGTACTTTGCTTGTTACCTAAAAATACATGAATAAGAAATAGTCCCTATCCTCATGAAGCTGATGGTCTCCTGAACAAGGTTAAACAAACCAATTGCAGCACTGTATTGAGCAGTAAGTTCAGCATGATAATATTGTAAAGAGTTCCTAACTTAGGTTTATGAAAACTCCTAGTTAATGAGTATTGTCTGTGTGTTAAACTATCAAGAAATATTTATGTGGAAAAAGGCATTCCAGGAAAGGAAACAGTTTATGCAAAGTCATAGAGTCAAAGGGAAATTAGCATGTTCTAGACCTGCAGGAACTTAGTATGCTGGCTCTACTGGGAACCAGAAATGAGCTGAAGAAGTAGGTAGGAGTCACATCATGAAGAGCCTTGTCTATCATGCTAAGGAATTTTTCTTTTCTAAAAGTAGTGTAGAGCTCCAAAATATTTTAAATCAGACATGCTCAGAGTTATGATGATTCATTTCACTGTAAAAACAGTTGTGGATAGTAAATTTATAGGCGATGATAAAACTGGAGGCAAGAATACAGTTGAAGGCTATTGCCATAATACAACTGAGGAATCATGTGTCCCTAATAGCAGTTATAATGAAGATGGAGAGGAAATTAGATCTTTAAGATATGCCTCAGAAATGGAGACACAAGTTTTGGTTGTCAGTCATTCGTTAGTAATGGAGCAAGATGGTTAAAGGATGATTCCCAGATTTTTTACTTGGACAGCTGGCTAGGTGAGAGGTACAGTTTGGTGAGAGAGGTAATACTGGAAGAGGAGGAATTCTGGAGAAGATGGAGGGTGGTTTAATTGAAGTTTTGCAGAGAAGGAGAAGTCTGGTATATAACCCAAAGCTCAGCAAAGAAATCTAGGTTGGAGGTAGCAAGTATGATAGATGTTATCATAGACCACATGCTGGCCAATAGTATGGTAGTTGAATCCAGGGGCCTAGGTGGGATCACCTAGGAAGATGTGAGTAGTAAGGAGAAAAGAACTAATGATAGAACACTAGAAAGCTGTCACATTTAAATGGCAGTAGAAAATGAGGTACTTGGAGACAAAAAAGTAGTAGTCAGAGAGTAGGAGAGTCAGCCAAGAGTTCCACCTTAGAAATAAAAGGTAGCTAGAATTTCAAAGAAATGTGAATGATTAGTCCACAGTGTCAGAATACTTCAGGGATAGAGCAAGTTGGCACACTGAGACGTCTCTATGGATTTGGCAATTTGGGAGATCTTAAGGAGAACATGTAGACTGGAGTAGTGGTCACAGAAACGTTAATACTGTGTGCTAAGGAGCAAGTATAAAAGTAAGAAGTGCAGACTGCCAGTATGAATGTGTCTTGAAGATCTGAGATGTAAAGTTTTGACTAGAGGGAACAGAATCCCTCTAGTTTGTTTCTACAAGTAGTGTGGTAGGAGGATGTTTTTGCAAGGCCAGGATTAGATGAGGCAAGAGAGATGTTTTCATAATCCTGAGAGTGAGTGCTTCCTGAAATTTTGCACCTGAGATTCTCCTTTGCCTTAGTCTACTCTAGGCCCTGGCTTTTATCTTTCTTCATCATCATTTTTTTTTTTTTTTTGATGGAAGAGAACTGAGCATGTTTGTATGCCAAGAGGAAAGGGCTTCTAAGGGTTAAAAGTATGGAGAGGCAGGGTAGTTGATGAAGTGAGCTCAGAGAAGAGGCAGAAGGGGATGGAGTCCAAGTACAGAAAGCTCAGTTTGGAAAGGAGGGCGCCTTATCTTGAGATCTGATTGGCGAGACAAAGGAGGGTCATTTTCAAGAAGCTTGTAGATAATACAAATTAAGATGTCTAAGAAGAATAATATGGTATTAAAAAAAACTTTGATCAAAGAAATTCTGGATGGGATGGTGAATATTTTGAACAATAAAAACAGTATTTCTATAAGATAGTACCAAGCTTTCTGTGTCCATTTTAAAAAGATTTGAAATATATTTAGTTGTTTTATTGCTACTATACAATTGATAAAAATTATTTGAAACATGTCTTATTCAGCACTTTGCCTACTACTAGACATAAGGAGGTGTTTATTTGTTGAAGAAAGAAACATAAGTGGTTATTTAGTTGTGACCTAGTATAGTGTTGAATCTGTCAAAATATATTTTATAGAAATAAAGTGAAAACAAGTTTTAAAAAAATCATATTTTTCCTTTTCTTTTTAAAAATAGATAAATCCAGGACAGATCTGGAGCAAGTACCTAAGGTAACAAAGCCTGAAAAATGAGAATACAGCTTTTTAACATTTGATCTTTAATTTTGTCTTGAAAGAAACTTTCACTGGGCTGTTTTCTGACACTTTGACCACTTTGATTTTTCTGGGACTTTGTTGCATCACTTTTATTCGCTCTCTTTTGCATTATCAGTCTCTTCTTTATCACCAAAACCTACAAATATGTTTAAATCTCTTCATTAAAAAAAAAAATTTGATCTTATTGCATCCTCAGTTGCTCAGTTGTATCTGACTCTTTGCAATCCCATGGACTGTAGTCTGTCAGGCTCCTCTGTGGGATTTTTTCAGGCAAGAATACTGGAGCAGGTTGCCATTTCCTCCTCCAGGGGATCTTCCAGCCCAGAGACTGAACCCACATCTCCTGCATCTCCTTCACTGGCAGGCTGATTCTTTACCACTAAGCCACCTGGGAAGCCCCCATTGATCTTATTACCCCACCAAATTATTAGAGATGTTTCTTTGTGTGAAAACTTTTGTAGAGGCGTGTAATAGATGATTGTGTTTTTGTTTTCTGGGGAAAGAGTCCATTGCATTCATCAGATTCTCAAAGGTCTATGATAATTGCTTTTTAGGGTGAGAAGAGACAGAAAGATGAAAGAAAGAGGAAAGGGCAGTCATGTTTAAAGTTCTTTGATTTCTACAAAACAAAATTCAAACTCTTGTCATTTGAGGCCCTTATTATTCATTTCCTTCATAGTCATACTCTTAACTTTTGCCTGCTAATCTTAGACATTGTTTATTTTTCTTTTTTACACATTTTTTACTTCAAACTTTTTTGCTGGCTCCACGCTTTATTTGCACTGTTCCTTTAGCCTGAAAGACTTTTACCTCTCCATATCTAATCTTGTAAAGTTTCTTGCTTAAATGGCAACTTGTATGAATACATTTCCCCCAAATGAAGATCATTAGACCCTTTGCCAAACTCTAATAGCATTTTATCTAGATCCCTACTGTCCCTTTTAAGACATTTGTCACTCTTTTCCTTATAAAATATTTATGTATATGTTTTGTCACATCTCTGTGGCAAAAAGATCCTTGAAATTAGGATCTCTGTAATAATTTAGCTTTGTTTCCACTTTAGTGCCTAGCATAAGAATAAATCATAATCATAAGCATGTATTGAATTAATCAATCCTTTTAGTTATACTAGAGGGATTAGAAAGTATACTCATGTCCCTAGTTCCTAGGGAGGAACATGAGTTCCTAGGGAGATTTCCCAATCATCAGTCAATTCAGTTCAGTTGCTCAGTCGTGTCCGACTCTTTGTGACCCCATGGACTGCAGCACGCCAGACTTCCCTGTCCATCACCAACTCCTGGAGCTTGCTCAAACTCATGTCCATTGAGTTGGTGATGCCATCCAACCATCTCATCTTCTGTTTTCTCCTACTCTTCCTGCCTTCAATCTTTTCCCAATTATATCATACTAATTTTAGATATGGGTCATATGAATCAGTGAATATAGTAAAACATAGAAATTAATTAAGAAATTAATTGATTAAAACATGTTTCAAGCCTTATTCTGTGTGCTGGAATACAAAGATTAATAATCTGTAAATCCAATCTTATAGAAACATATTATCTCTGGGAAGAGATGTACATATTAAATAAGTAATATTTATGATGTATGAGATAAATAAGTATACATGGTATACTTGTGTTTAGAAAAGTGAAAGTAAAAGTCACTGAGTCATGTCTGACTCTTTGCGACCACATGGACTGTATAGTCCATAGAATTCTCTAGGCCAGAATACTGGAGTGGGTAGCCTTTCCCTTCTCCAGGGTATCTTCCCAACTCAGAGATCAAACCCAGGTTTCCTGCATTGCAGGTGGATTCTTTACCAGCTGAGCCATAAGGAAAGCCCCTTGTGTTTAGGGATGGGGTTAAATAAATTTTGTAAAGTATGAGGTAAATAAAGCTCTTTATACCTTTCTAAGAGAGTTTGGTCTGTCAGTCATGGGAATTCACTGAGAAATTTAAAAAGAGAAGTTGATTATAATAGTTACAATTGCATTTTAATGGTATGTCTGACAGTAGTATAGAGCATAGATTAGGGAAGGATATATCAGTAAGTAGCCATTTGCTGTAATCCAGAGATAGATTTTTGTATACATAGTTTGTTATTACTGCTTTTTTCTGTATATGTCTGAGATTCAAGTTAATTATTTTAATGAAGGGGATATTAGATGTAAAGAAAATGTTTATCTAATTGAGGGAAATGCATTTTTTTATTAGATTTTTATGAAACCAGATTTTGCCTTGGACGATTCCTTAACTTTTAATTCAGTTTTACCATGGTCTCATTTTAATACTGCTGGTGGAAAAGGAAATCGTGATGCAGCTTCCTCAAAGTTGCTACAAGAAAAGGTAATTTTTATTTTTTCCATGTAGAAAACTATTTTAATTAAATGATACAATTGGGTTGGCCAAAAAATTCATTCAGATTTTTTGTAATATCGTATAGAAAAACCTGAATGAATATTTTGGCCAACCCAATATTTGTGTGTTTTCATAGTTAGTTATTTAGTAGGCACTAATTCCTTTAATTTCATCTTTATTGTTACTGAAGATCTGAACCCTTTAAATCTTAACTGATAGAGTAACAGTATTTTGTTTCAATGCAGTATACCAGTTGTGCTGTTGAAAAGGAAAAGCTCATTGTTTGAGTGCTTCTTATCTGAATCAGCAGTTGACAGAAATTCAGATGAAAGGAAGTAGTAGTAAACGCAATTGTTTTACATTTATTCCCGACAATATATTGGCTAATTTTATATTCTTTATGACTTAAATCACAGAAAATGAACTTTTCCTAAGAAACTGTTTTTCCTCCTTTACACATAGTAATGATTATTTTGAAACAAAAATATCATAGTTAAAAATTACAGTGTTCATTTAGCTTTGCAAAGCTTTGCAAAGCCTAGCCTTTTGCATGTCTGCAGTTTTTCAATATTTTATAATGGTCTATATTTCAGAAGTCAACACGTGAAAGTCATTTTGAATGTAAGACTTTAAACAGAACTCACATATCAAGACTCTTAAAACTGGAATAGGAAGTAAAGACCTTTGATCTCTGTTCTTTCCTAGCGCTCAGTTTAGAACATTCCTGAAACTGACTGTGGTTCCTAAACTGAGGTGAAGCATTCTGTTGTAGTCTAATGACAGCTCTTGGCAGTCTGAAAGCTTGTCTCATGTGGGCTATTCAATAAGTTGGGTCTAGTCCTCTTCAACTGAAGAAAGGGCGACTTAGGAGAGGAGAAGAAATGTGAGGACCGAATTATGAGTATGCCTTCCTCATAGTTGAAAATGAGTTCCCCCCCTTTTTTTTGGGCAACATTTTCATCTATGAAATGGTTTTCCTTGAGTAAAAATAAATTCATAAATCTTAGGAAAAGGATAGATTTATGGACATAGGCTCATTCCCAGACTGCTTTTTTACATTCCAAGTATATACCCTTGTATACCTTAAGAGAGAAAAACAACAGAAGCCAATAAAAATTTCATCAATCTATACAAATACTTTTATGAATACTTTAAAAAATTGTTCCTTTTATAGAATTTTAATAGGAAATGAATTATGAAAATATTATGTCTTTGAAAAGAATATATCAATGGAATGTTGATAAATTGCAAAAATCTTTGAAACTCAAATGAAACACTTTTCTCATGCTAAATGTTAGAGTGACTAATGGAATTTTTTTTTTTTTTTGTAAGTTGCAAAATCAGCTTTGTTACTTTTACATTTTGTTTCCTTCTCACTCTTCTCTATTCTTAGGAAAGGAATGGAAAACAGGATTCCAAGACAGGATTCAGACTCACTATATGATTGATGACAATTCTTTTATCTTGCTAGCTTTAAAGAGGGGATGCTAGCAAGGATTAGAGAAATTTATATCTTATTGTAGTTCTGCTATCCAAAGTTGTGTTCTGCGATGAGATTAACGAGTTTGGTTTAGAATGTAAATCATTGCACTGCTTCCTTCATTAACAAAGTCTTTCTATGAAAAATCCTAGCAAAGTTCCTTATTTTGTCATGGACCTCTGAACGGTTTGCAAACTGGCAGCAGCATATGAACTGCATCCCAAGTAGCACTGTCCTAAAGGAGTTCCTTGTTCTCTATTTCCTGAAAATTGAGTTACCTTAGCTTGTGATGTACCTAAGTACCTTCATCCCCATATTGCTTTTTAGGTAAATAAATGAGCAGTCATTGAAGATAAAAAGAACAACAGCAAAAGAGTATAAATTAAGAGATTTAAACTATAAAGGAATGTCTTGTTTGTAACCTATTTATGAATAGACTATTGAAGGAGTCTTACTGAAGATATGCATCATCCTGCATAGTTTTAAGGAAACAAGCTTGGTGACCAAAATAATCTCCTAATTTTATGAGTCCTAAATGTAGGAAAGCCCATTAACCCTTTAACTGTGAATTCTTCTGAGATGTTCAGAGATAGTTCTTTAAAGTTTGAGCTATGGGTTGAAGATTCTAAAAGTAAAAAAGTGGGAGAGAAATAGAAAGATAATGTAGCCCAAAAAAGACATATGCAGTTTTGAAGGAAGAAAAGACAACTCAAGTTTTAGGAGTCCATATTTGAAATTAAAAAGCATTTTTAATATATGTTACTCTAGGAATTAATTTTGATAATGTTACTGATAAAATATATATGAATTAATTGTTTTAGGCATCTATCAATCATTTAAGAGGAAAGCACATTGGAAATAACCTGGATTTTACAAATTGATAAAAGAATAATTGCTGAAATGTAAAATAAACAGCCCTGAAAAAAAAAAGATCCAAATGAATTCTGGTACATTCTACAATTGGTGACTTGATCACCAGTCTTTCATGAATTCTGTAGTGTTTTGAGGCAGCATGGTGCAGTAGAAAGAACTTCAGTTTTTGAGTTAGACAAACCTGAGCTTAAATTTCAGTTTTTCTGCTTACTAATTATATGACTTTATTCAAGTAATTTAATGTTTCTGAGCCTTAGTATCTTCATCTGTAAAAGAAAATAATAATAAAACCTGTATTCTAAGACTGTTAAAATTAGGAAATTTTATATATATGTATATGTATATATATATAAAAAATACCAGTGCCTGATACATAGAAGGAAGAAGTCAATAAATGATAACCTATAATTATCTTTCAGTCAGATAAATGACTTGATATTGGTGATAGTGATGTGTAGAGGTTAAGGAAATCAATCTTCTCTCTCTCAGATTTTGGAACTTCTGAAACTAGGTTATACTCTGAGGTGACTGTGGGGTACTTTTACTTTCTAGAAAGTAGTTGGTGTTTGGAGGGCAGTAATGGCAGGAGCAGAGGAAGAAGGTAAATCACCTTCTATGATTTTGTCTTACATTTATTAATTTTTGGGCTCTACCTTTCATCACCTTTCTATTTTGTGTGCCTAGTATCAAGCATCGTATAATCTAATGGTTCACAAAATGGGATTTAAAATACATGTAGAAATATTGTATCGTTTTCAGAAAACATTTGGATAGTTAAGGTATAATTCTATGATTTTTTTCTTTCCTCTTAAGCTGAGCCATTATCTGGATATTGTGGAAGTAAACATTGCTCACCAGATCTCTCTACGTTCAGAAGCATTTTTTCATGCAATGACCTCTCAACACGAATTGCAGGACTACCTCAAGAAAACTTCCCAGGCTGTAAAAATGCTTCGAGATAAAATTGCACAGATTGATAAAGTAATGTGTGAAGGATCACTACACATTTTAAGACTGGCACTTACCAGAAATAATTGTGTTAAAGTATATAATAAACTGAAATTAATGGCCACTGTACACCAGACTCAGCCTACAGTACAGGTGTTGTTATCTACTTCTGAATTTGTTGGAGCATTGGACTTAATAGCAACAACACAAGAGGTTCTACAGCAGGAACTTCAGGGCATTCATAGCTTCCGGTATGTTCATTAAGTAAACCATTAGAAATAATGTTAAATTTTCAAAGGATAAATTTTAGTGTGTAATGAAAACTGAAAAAGTATGAATGTATTTAGAGTTACATGGGTATTTTTTCTTCTAGATTGACCTGTTTAATATTATCACTCTGAAATTTTAGTCTTACTAAAATAAAAAAAAAAATCATAAGGACCAATATTTACAGAGATATTTGAATCAGTTCAGTTCATTCGCTCAGTTGTGTCCGACTCCTTGCGACCCCATGAACCACAGCACACCAGGCCTCCCTGTCCATCACCAACTCCCAGAGTTTACCCAAACTCACGTCCATTGAGTTGGTGATACCATCCAACCATCTCATCCTCTGTCGTCTCCTTGTCCTCCCACCTTCAATCTTTCCCAGCATCAGGGTCTTTTCAAATGAGTCAGCTCTTCGCATCATGTGGCCAAAATATTGGAGTTTGAGCTTCAACATCAGTCCTTCCAATGAACACCCACGACTGATCTTCTTTAGGAAGGACTGGTTGGATCTCCTTGGAGTCCAAGGGACTCTCAAGAGTCTTCTCCAACACCACAGTTCAAAAGCATCGATTCTTTGATGCTCAGCTTTCTTTATAGTCCAATTCTCACATCCATACATGACCACTGGAAAAACCATAGCTTTGACTAGACAGACCTTTGTTGGCAAAGTTATGTCTGCTTTTTAATATGCTGTTTAATTTGGTCATAACTTTCCTTTCAAAGAGTAAGCATCTTTTAATTTCATGTCTGCAGTCACCATCTGCAGTGATTTTGGAGCCCCAGAAAATAAAGTCTGACACTGTTTCCACTGTTTCACCATCTATTTGCCATGAAGTGATGGGACCAGATGCCATGATTTTAGTTTTCTGAATGTTGAGCTTTAAGCCAACTTTTTCACTCTCCTCTTTCACTTTCATCAAAAGGCTCTTTAGTTCTTCTTCACTTTCTGCCATAAGGGTGGTGTCATCTGCATATCTGAGGTTATTGATATTTCTCCAAGTAATCTTGATTCCAGCTTGTGCTTCCTCCAGCCCAGCATTTCTTATGATGTACTCTGCAGATAAGTTAAATAAGCAGGGTGACAATAAACAGCCTTGATATACTCCTTTTCCTATTTGAAACCAATTGTTCCATGTCCAGTTCTAACTGTTGCTTCCTGACCTGAGTACAGGTTTCTCAAGAGGCAGGTCAGGTGGTCTGATGAACTATGGACGGAGGTTCATGACATTGTACAGGAGATGGGGATCAAGACCATCCCCAAGAGAAAGAAATGCAAAAAAGCAAAATGACTGTCTGAGGAGGCCTTGCAAATAGCTGTGAAAAGAAGAGAAGCGAAAAGCAAAGGAGAAAAGGAAAGATATACCCATTTGAATGCAGAGTTCCAAAGAATAGCAAGGAGAGACAGGCAAGCCTTCCTCAATGATCAGTGCAAAGAAATAGAGGAAAGCAGTAGAATGGGAAAGACTAGGAATCTCTTCAAGAAAATTAGAGATACCAAGGGAATATTTCATGCAAAGATGGGCTCAATAAAGGACAGAAATGGTATGGACCTAACAGAAGCAGAAGATATTAAGAAGAGGTGGCAAGAATACACAGAACTGTACAAAAAAGATCTTCATGACCCAGATAATCACGATGGTGTGATCACTCACCTAGAGCCAGACATCCTGGAATGTGAAGTCAAGTGGGCCTTAGGAAGCATCACTATGAACAGAGCTAGTGGAGGTGATGGAATTCCAGTTGAGCTATTTCAAATCCTGAAAGATGATGCTTTGAAAGTGCTGCACTCAATATGGCAGCACATTTGGAAAACTCAGCAGTGGCCACAGGACTGGAAAAGGTCAGATTTTATTCCAATTCCAAAGAAAGGCAATCCCAAAGAATGCTCAAACTACTGCACAATTGTACTCATCTCACACTCTGGTAAAGTAATGCTCAAAATTCTCCAAGCCAGGCTTTAGCATTACATGAACTGTGAACTTCTAGATGTTCAAGCTGATTTTAGAAAAGGCAGAGGAACCAGACATTAAATTTCCAACATCTGCTGGATCATTGAAAAAGCAAGAGAGTTCCAGAAAAACATCTATTTCTGGTTCACTGACTATGCCAAAACCTTTGACTGTGTAGATCACAATAAACTGTGGAAAATTCTGAAAGAGATATTTGGATAAAGAAGTAAAATTAAATTCTCTAGTAGATAAAATTGATAAAGGGCCAGTCACAACTTTGAAACTGATAGCATTTTGAAAATGTTGAAACGGCTTTATGTCAAAGTAGAGAAAGTGGAGAAAGGAATACCACTTCATTTTAAAAGCTATTGAATTAAGTTTTAAATTCGATAATTACTGAAATTCATTTCTCTTTTGCAGTCTATCACATTGCAAAAAATTTCACATGATGATGGAAGAGACCAAATTTCTTTTGAGGCTCTATTTTGAAAATACCTTTAAAATTAGGGTTTTAGTTATTTTATGTGTGATCATGTCAAATGATCAGATCAGACCAGTTGTAAGTCATCAAAATTTCTTAATGAATTCTGAAAACCTTCAGAATGTATTATGTCACAGAGCACATCTTCCATAAAACTTCTCTGTAGTCACTCCGTAGTAAAAGATTTAGGAGGGTTTTCCAGCAGATAGGACTTCAACAAGGACTTTGCAGGCCTGCTTAACTGAATGAAATCTTCAATATGGGCTTTCTTGGTGGCTTAGCTGGTAAAGAATCTGCCTGCAATGCAGTAGACCACGGTTTGATTCCTGGGAGGGATAGGCTACCTACTCCAGTATTCTTGGGCTTCCCTGATGTCTCAGACGGTAAAGAATCTGCCTACAATGTGGGAGACCTGGGTTTGATCCCTGGGTTGGGAAGATCCCCTGGAGGAGGGAACGGCTACCCACTCCAGTATTCTGACCTGAAGAATTCCATGGACAGAGGCGCCTGGCAGATTAAAGTCCATGGTGTCAAAGTCAGACACGACTGAGCAACTTTCACTTTATCTTAAATATAAAATTATTTTAATTGAATTATAAGTTCTTACTAAGAGTATGTAATTGGAATATTTATTTAGAAAGCACTTTAAAAAAATTGGCCCAAATTTAATTATGCAAGTGAATGATTGATTCATTTAGTTTAGAAATGGTAATTGATCATCTGTTACATGAGAGACACCTGGCAGAATACTGGGATTATAGCCATGAACAAAGCAGAGTTGCTTCCTGCTCTATTTCTGCAATTTGTTTGTCAGTAGGGATACAGAAATTACGAGGTAGTTAGGATACAGTGCAGTACAGTATGATGATGAATGTACAGATTGCTATGGAGTTTAACCTTAGGGGAAAAACCTTCAGACATTTATGTTTACAGAAGTTTGGATTACATATCTCTTTGAAAACCTATTTTAAGCTGTGGTTGGACCTTCTTTCCATAAAAATATACCTGTACATAAAATTTTACCATCAATTTTGGGTGGTTGGTAGTCCTTTGGAGTCTACTTTGATTTTCTCAGCATGGGAACCCAGGGTGACTATATGATTTTTAGTTTCCCCTTTACCTCTGAAATTTTAAATATTTCTCTTTTAAATGTGTGCATGGAATATATTTTTTAAATAAAAACTTTGTCACTATTTTAGCAAAATGGACTTCTGTTATAACAGAAGCTGTTTTTCACTTGTCACTACTATATAATTAAAATGTTGATGAATATTAGCAACTGATTCTACAGAGTAGAATGCTTTATCCTCTGAACAGAGAAATAGAAACAGAGATTAAATACTTGCCTGCTGAACGCAAATTCTGAAACTATTCTAATTTTTACTCCAAAGGTATGCAGTTTATTTCATTTTCTTGACTCATTAGTTTATGCCCAATAATATTGATTAAGAGTATAGTTATCCAGAGCCATCTGGGAAATGTTTAAGAACAGGGTTGGATATTTATTCCTAGTAGATTATGATTTATTGGAAGGCAAAGTGAAAATTTTATAATCTTGTAATCATCTTAAGCTGAAATGCAAAGAAGAGTTTACCTTTGTTTTCAGGCTCACTTTTTTGTTTGTATATTAACTCAGAGGACAAAATATTCTTCATGAAAAAGGGCATATAATTTTTTAAAGACTTTCAAATATTCTATTTGTCTACCTTTTGCTCATGTATCTTTCTAATATTTTTTAGGACGTGCGCATTTATAAAGAGCATTTATTCTTCACATAAAATATATATGAAAATATATTTGATCCTTGATATATTGCAGATTTCATGTAGAAAACATTGAGTTATGTTGAAATTCAGGGGTATAATGTGATTTGCTGTGTCTTATTGTAAAGGTTTATGTAGAACCTCTTCTCGGTTTTCACCATTGTTAGTTTTTTTTGTCACTACTTACTACCACCACCACTATAAAATCCAAGAACATTTTTTGAATACTTTGGTATTCTGTACATATTACTATGCTAAGAATATTGCATGTATTGATATTATTTGACCCCACTCCCCACTCCAGAAAATCCCTCTGAGATGGTCTTGCCTCATTTTAGTAGATAAGAAAGATAAAGCATTGAAAATCTTAGATAACTTGTTGCAAGTTATACAAATAACTTGCTCCAAGTCATAGAGCACATTATAAAACAGTAGAGTCAAAATTCAGTCAAGATCTCATTGGGCCCAAGAGTTATGTATACTTTTTAATATATTTCTTTGAGGTTTTATAGGATTTCAAATAGATCACTCTGAACATCAGTGCTAATTTTCTAGTGCAAGGGGTGTTAAACTGTGGGCAATTTACAGATTTGCTGAGCGAGAAACCTACCATAGTAATAGATTTTAGGATAAAAATTAATGCAACTAGTTTTTCTACTTGTTTGCTGCCTTCTTTGTCTTTTTCAAAGAAAAGGTGGAAACCATTCAGAGTTAATTACAGGTTCCAGTTTACTGTAATATGATTCTATTGATCAGAGAGGCCACCTTAGGCTTCCACTTAAGGGATT